TTTTTTTTTTTTGGCGCCCTCCTCCCCTGCCTACAGCCTAGCGGGGAGGAGTGGTCGATCTGCTTCCCCCTTCCCTACCCCCCCTCCAGTGTTTGCTCTCCCCCCGTCCTCATTATGGCAGGGGACGAGGAGAGTGAAACCCCTCAGGCAGACCCTGCTGCCCCTCCTCCACCCGCCCCACCATCGTCCCCCCTAGCCTCTACCTCAACCGCCGCTGCCGAGCCACCTACTACCACCCCTGCTGGAGCACCAGCAGCGGTGGGTAACGAGGTGACCTCCGCTGCTGCCACGTCCCTCGCTCCCTCTGACTCTGGGGGAGTCCCTCCAACCGGCAGGAAGGGCCAGGGCACAAAGAAGGGTAAAGGCCCCGCTAAAAAAGCCAGGCCCTCCATGGCAGGGGGTACCCCCACTGCTGCGGCCCTGCAACCGGCCACGGCATCCCTCCCTGCTGTTCCCTCCACCAGCTCTGTGGGTGTCCCTCCCCCGGTCCCCAGGGCATACGCCCTGGTGGCGGCGCCCCCCCCCGCCTGCCGCTACATCATCTTCCCCCATCCACCGCCTCTGCTACCATCTATAGCGGCCGGGGCCCCTTCCCCACCTTGACCAGGAAGCACGGCGTCCATTGCCTCCTGGTACCCGCCTCGCCCCACATGGAGACCTACGTGCGGGCGTTGGCGAGGGTGGTGGGGCCCACGGCCATTGTGGCGGCCTCTAAGATGTATGGAAAGGTCGTCTTCTTCCTAGCATCGGAGGTCGCCGCCCAGGAGGCAGTGGAGAAGAGCCTGGCGGTGGGGGGCGTGTACATCCTCCTGGAGCCGCTAGAAGACCTGGGCGCCCGACTGGTCCTGACTTCTGTCCCTCCCTTCCTTCCAAATGCCGCCCTGTTACCCGCCCTCTCTACCCTGGGGAGGCCGATCTCTGTGGTCAGCCCTCTCCCATTGGGCTGCAAAGACCCCGCCCTCCGTCACGTCCTCTTGTTCCGCCGGCAGGTACAGTTACAACTGCCGCCGGCAGCACGTGACGGTGAGGCGCTTGAGGGGTCCTTTTTGGTCCCCTACCAGGGGGCCTGCTACCGGGTGCATTATTCAATGGGGGAGGCCCGGTGCTACCTCTGCCGGGCGATAGGACACGTCCGGAGGGAATGCCCCTTGGCCCGGCACGGAGGGACATCCGGGATCCCCGAGCCCCGGCAGGGCGCCGGCCCCATCGTTGCCGGCGCCCCTAGCTGCCTGGTGCCCGAAGCCGCCCCTCCTCCTTTCCGGCCCACCAAAGCTCCCGCTCGGGCCCAAGGGGTATCTCCCCCAGTGCGCCTAGACGAGCGAGAGGGCCCCGCCTCTGCCGCCTGCGATCTGGCGGGGCCTGTGGAGGAGGGTGAGGTAGGGATATCGCCGAGCATAGAAGAAGGCATGCCCCAGAGAGAATCCTCCCTCCTACATGCTGTGCCACAATTACCTCCCCGAGTCCCTAAGCCTTCGCTCTTGCTCCCTGACCCGACTCCTGTTAGCCAGCCCCCGGATGATGCCATGGAGGGCTGGTCCTTAGTACAGGGGAAGCGGGGCAAGCAGAAGGCTTGAGTTCCGCTCCTTCCATCTGATGCGGTAGCCCCCCGGAAGACCAGGAAGGGGGGCACCGATGCTGAGCCTTCCGCTTTGCCCCTGGGTGGGTTTTGTCCACCATTCCCGGCTAGGGAAGACGTGGCAGCATCGGAGGAAAGCACTACCCCTCCTCCGGTGTCCCTTCCTATGGAAGCCCCTGATGGAGCCCCTCTCGCCCCCTTACAATCTGAAGCCCCTGCATGCACCAAGGCGATTATCGCTTCGGGTGCAGGTGGGGAGAGCCCTGGGGTGGTGGAAGGTGATCTCCCCTCCATTTATGAGGAGATCGAGGCCCTGGGTCTGACCCCGGTTACCCAGGGGGAGGACGGGCCTCGATCTGAGCGACCTCGCCTCAGCCCCCCTTTCTCCATGTTCTGTCCCCTTACCCACTGCTTCCGCTCCCGCCTCCGAGGAGCCCCTGGACTCTTCCACCAACCCGGCTGCAGATGGCACCCCGCTAGCGGCCACCGAGCCTCTTGAGGTGACGGCCAGTGCCATGCAACCGGGACCCGAGTCGCCAGGGGACTCCCTCGTGGCTGAGGGGCAGCCGACCTCCTTCCTGGGTGGGGGCCCCATCGTTGATTCTCCACCTATGGATGCTGTGGCCTTACCATCTGCCTTGGAGCACGAGCCCGGCATGACGGAGGGCCCACCTCCCTCCCCGCAAATCCCTGAGCCTATTTGCGGGGTGCCACCCCCCCCACCCAGGAGCCTGGCTGCTGGGGCCCCCAATCCCACTATCGCCCCTTCCCCTGTCCCTATTCCTGACTCCGACCCTGCCCCTGACCCAGTCTCTATCCCATCCACTTCCTGTGATGCTATTGCCGCCCCTGGGGCTGTCTCCTTCCATATCCCAGAGGACGACCCCCAAGGAGCGGCCTTTGTTTTTCCCTGTCCCGACCCACCAGGGGCTGCTATTTTCCCTCCACCACCCCCCATTGAGCCAGGGTCTGAGGCGGGCCACATGGCGCCAGCCCATCGGACGCCACGTCGAGGGTCTGCCCCCTGCTTGCCCATCTCGGTGGGCCATGGGGCTGTGACAGGGGCCCCACTGGGGGAAAGCCATAGATCAGTGACCCCACCCCCCCCATACGCTGAGAGAGGAGCTACGAGAGTTCCTTGAGGACGTCCGTGGCTCCCGCAACAAGGTACAGCTTGCACTCCAGCGATGGGGGGATTTTCATCAGATCCTCCGGGCCGCGAGGGCCCTCATGGGGGAGGGTAAGAGGACAGGGAGGCAGGCCGCCGCGGCCTACCAACGGGTCCGCCTCTTCTGTGACTCCTTAATCGCCTACGGGGTAGGTCACGGATTGTTGCGCGGCCCGACGGAGGCCGTGGACGTCTCTGCCGGCGAGGATCCCCCCCAGCCCTCCTCATGGCACCGATCATCTTCGCAACATTGAACACCCGGGGCTGTAGGATGGGTCTCCGCAGGAGCCAGGTGCTCTCCTTCCTTCGGGAGGGGGGGTACTCTGTGATTTTCCTGCAGGAGACCCATACGGATCCGGCCGCTGAAGCTAGCTGGTGGCTGGAGTCGGGGGACAGGGTCTATTTTAGCCACCTCACAGTACGTACGGCTGGAGTGGCGACCCTGTTCTTCCCCCGACCTACGGCTCGAGGTGCTGGGGGTCGCCGAGGCTGTGCCAGGCCACCTGCTGCACCTCCGGGTCCGCATGGAGGGGCTTGTGGTTAATCTCGTCAACGTTTACGCCCCGACATTGGGCCCGGAGAGGTTGTGTTTTTATCAGCAGGCGTCCGCCTTCCTCGGCACCTTGGATCCTCGCGAGTGCCTGGTCCTGGGCGGGGACTTTAACGCCACCCTTGAGGAACGGGACCGCTCGGGGACCGAGCAGCACCCGGCCGCCGCGGTTGTCCTCCGGGAGATCGTCAAACATCACTCCCTGGTGGACGTCTGGCGCGACCACCACCCGGATGACGTTTCAACATTCGCTTTTGTCCGGGTGGAGGTCCATCGGTCGTACCACTCCCGGTTGGACTGCATCTATATGTCACGCTTCCATCTTTCCCGGGCCCACTCCTCCAGCGTCCGGCCGGCCCCTTTTTCAGATCACCATCTAGCCACCGTGACAGCCTCTCTCTGCGCGAAGAGGCCGGGGCCGGCCTATTGGCACTTTAATAATAGCTTGTTGGAGGATGTGGGCTTTGTGGCGTCCTTCCGGGAGTTCTGGCTGGCCTGGCGAGGGCAGCGGCATGTCTTTCCCTCGGCGCGGCGGTGGTGGGACCTGGGGAAGGTGCGCGCCCGGCTCTTCTGCTGTGACTACACCCGGGGTGCCAGCCGACGGAGGGATGCGGCGATAGGGCAGTTGGAACGGGAGGTCTTAGAGCTGGAGAGGCGTCTGGCCGCCAGCCCCGGTGATTCATCCCTCTGCGGAGCGTGCCGGGAGAAGCGGGAAGAGCTCCGGACCCTCGAGGACCATCGGGCCCGAGGTGCCTTTGTTCGATCCCGCATCCGCCTCCTTCGGGAGATGGATCGCGGCTCCCGCTTCTTCTACGCCCTGGAAAAAAAAGAGGGGGGCCAAGAAGCACGTCACCTGCCTTCTAGCAGAGGACGGCACCCCCCTCACGGATCCGGCGGAAATGTGCGGGAGGGCCAGGGCCTTCTACGCAGGCCTTTTCTCCCCGGATCCGACCGATCCTAACGCTTGCAGGATGCTCTGGGATGAACTCCCGACGGTCAGCACGGGCAACCGAGACTAGCTGGAGCTGCCTCTCACTCTGGCCGAGTTCTCGGAAGCCCTCCGCCGCATGCCCACCAATAAATCTCCGGGCATGGACAGGCTGACCGTGGAGTTCTACCGCGTGTTTTGGAACGTCCTCGGCCCGGACCTTGTCACCGTCTGGGCCGAGTCCTTGCAGGGCGGGGTCCTCCCTCTTTCGTGCAGGTGAGCCGTGCTCACCTTATTGCCGAAGAAGGGGGACCTCCGCGATTTATGGAATTGGCGTCCCATCTCGCTCCTCAGCACAGACTATAAAATCGTAGCGAAGGCCATCTCACTGCGGCTAGGGTCCGTGCTGGCGGACGTGATCCACCCAGACCAGACCTACACCGTCCCGGGCCGCACCATCTTCGACAACTTGTATCTGGTCCGGGACCTCTTGGAACTCGGGTGTAGGGATGGTCTGTCGTTCGCCCTCCTGTCCCTGGATCAGGAGAAGGCATTTGACAGGGTGGACCAGGGGTATCTTCTGGGCACTCTGCGAGCGTTTGGCTTCGGGCCCCAGTTTGTGGGTTTTCTCCAGGTGCTGTACGCCTCCGCAGAGTGTTTGGTCAGGCTCAACTGGACCCTGACCGAACCGGTCAGCTTCGGGCGAGGAGTACGTCAAGGGTGTCCCCTCTCGGGCCAGCTGTATGCTCTGGCGATCGAGCCCTTCCTCTGTCTCCTCCGTAGGAGGTTGGCAGGGTTGGTGCTGTGGGAGCCGGAGCTGCGGCTGGTCCTGTCGGCGTACGCCGACGACGTGCTCCTCGTGGTCCAGGACCCGGGCGACTTGGTGCGGGTGGAGGCTTGCCAGACCATCTATTCGGCGGCCTCCTCCGCCCGGGTCAACTGGGTCAAGAGCTCTGGCCTAGTGGTAGGGGACGGGTGGCAGACGAGCTCCCTCCCACCCGCGCTTCAGGCCATCCGGTGGAGCGCGGGTCTGCTGCTCTATCTCGGCGTTTACCTTTCTGCCACGCATCCATCTCCGCCGGAGAACTGGCTAGGTTTAGAGGGCAGAGTGTCGGAGCGGCTCCGGAAATAGACAGGACTGCTCCGGTGTCTCTCCCTTCGAGGGAGAACACTGGTGCTCAATCAACTAGTCCTGTCCATGCTCTGGTACCGGCTCAACACCCTGTTCCCGGCCCCGGGCTTCCTGACCACGCTCTGGACGTTGATTCTGGAGTTCTTTTGGTCAGGACTGCACTGGGTCTCTGCGGGGGTTCTCCATCTACCCCTGGAGGAGGGAGGGCAGGGCCTGAAGTGTCTGCATGCTCAGGTCCACGTCTTCCGCTTCCAGGCCCTGCAGAGGCTCCTTTATGGTGCAGGTAGTCCGGCATGGAGCGTATTGGCGCACGCCTTCCTGTGCCGCTTCCGAGGGCTCCGATATGACCGGCAGCTCCTTTGTCTCCATCCGAGAGGTCTTCCGCCAGGCCTCTCTGAGCTGCCGGTCTTCTACCAGGACCTCCTCCGGACCTGGAAACTGTTTTCAGTGACCAGGTCCGTGGCAGCCACCGTGGGGGCAGATCTCCTCGCGGAGCTCCTGCTACACAACCCCCAGCTTCGTGTGCAGGTGGCGGAGTCCCCCATGGTGCACCAGAGGTTGGTCCTAGCAGAAGTCACCAAAGTCGGAGACCTCCTGGACTACGACCGGGGAGACTGGCTGGATCCCCTGACGCTCGCTCAGCGCATGGGGATCTCCAGACCTCGTACTCCCCGGCGCGTACTTCAGGAGGTGAGGGCCGCTTTGCCGCCCGCTGCTCGGGACTACCTCGACCGGGTCCTGCGAGAGGGCATGCCCCGCCCACCCTCCACTCCGAGCCCTCCAGACTTTTTCATCGGGCCCGTGGACCCAACCAGCCCCCTCCCCGTCCATTCGCCATGAACCAGCTGCACCATATGCAGCCGGTTCTGTTCCGGACCGCGTCAAGGAAACATCTATACACGCTCGTGCTCCATGTTCTTCATGTCCTCACCCTCGCGTCCCACCCCGATATGAAGTGGCGGGACCTTCTGCCACCTCTGGAGGGTGAGGAGCCCCGGTGGGCCAGCCTTTATTCTGCTCTGATCCCGAAGCCCACCGGGGACATCAGTTGGCGGCTCCTTCACAGAGCCGTGAGCACGGGCGTGTACTTGGCGCGGTTTACCCCTATCCCAGACACCTGCCCCTTTTGCGGCGTGAGGGAGACCCTGGCGCATGTTTACCTGGAGTGCGCCAGGCTGCAGCCCCTATTCCGGCTCCTCACGGATATTTTGTTAAGATTTTGGTTGCACTTTTCTCCTCACCTTTTTATTTATGCACTCCCTATCCATCGCCCCACAAAGTCGCGGGACCTCCTGGTCAACCTCCTTCTGGCCCTAGCGAAACTGGCCATCTATAAAACCAGAGTAAGGAGGTTGGCCGATGGAGTTTCCTGTGACTGTGGGGCGTATTTCAGGTCCTCCGTTCTTTCACGTATCCGGGCAGAGTTCCTCTGGGCGGCGTCCACTGGCTCCCTTGACGCCTTCGAGGAGCAGTGGGCGCTGTCTGGGGTTCTCTGCTCGGTGTCCCCATCTGGTTCGCTTCGTTTGGCCCTTTGACCTCACTCCTGTCCCTGTTCTTTTATTAGTTGTCCCCTGTAAGTTTTTGGTCTCCAGGTCCTGTGGACCCCCCCCTTAGGCTGGGGGGGATCCTTTAGCAGTGGGCGGGCTTTGCCCTCCCACCTCCTGGATCCCAATAGGTCTGGTCACTCAGGGAACAGAAAACTACTCATCCAGTGACCAGTATATTTGCCCTGTACCAGACTCCTGTACCCCACTGGTTTGGGTCTGTTACACCTGGCAAACTGGAACAGGCATATACCACCTTCGCAGTGAAGGGGGAGTCACAGAGTCTCTTGAACGGATTCTACAGGGTAAAATATCTCTGATTTCAAAAGTAATTTTCTGAAGAAATCTTACCTCTCATTGTCCTTGAAACCCCACTTATGTCCTGTAAGCCCTAATTTCAGGAAACTGGAATTTCCTGTTGCGGATTTCTGTACCTGAGATTACAGTGCAGTCTCATTTGTGTCTCTCATAGATTTCTAAGGACCTCATTGATCTCCAGATCGAGAGAAACAAAATGAGAGAGCAGTATGAGGCAGAGAACTTTGAACTGAAAAATATGGTATGTGGCACTATAATACTGCATTACATTCTGTATGCATTAGCCCATCTCTGCTGCTCTTCTTAATCATCCTCTGTCAGATACACTGACTCTAGGGCTAGAATCTAGAATCTTTGGTGTGCACCTAATACCCACAGTTTGTCCCTGACTCTTGCTAGAGCTGTCATTCTCCCTTCACTTGCATGAGCATTGAAATGTACTCCCAAACTTGTCAGTTGTGCGCTAAGCCTGATGAGAACCTGTTTGTCCAAATGAAAACCTAGGAATGTTACACTGCCCCACTCAGTTCCTGTTGTAGAGTCTAATTGTGCCTCCTGCACACTGTAGATCCTGACCCTGGAGAACCATATTCTGGAGTTGGAGCTCCATGATGAGAAGGTCACTGGGGAGCATGATGCCCTACAGGAACGCCTGCACACTGTGGAGACCAATCGCAAGGAGCTGGCTGATGAGTACATCATTCTGAAAAGCAATTATATGGCCCTGGGCAAAGAACATGAACAGGAGGTGAGTGAGACCTGCTGAGTTTCCCTCACAATGCAGGCTTTGCTCTCACTGATGCTGCCCTCCTCCTCTGTGCACATGCCTGCCTGCTGCCTCTTCAGTTTCTACTTTGCTGTTGCTGGAGAACATCTTCCTGTAGGGCCTGGGAAAGAGCATGAATGTGAGCTCCACACAGAGCAGCCTTATTTGATAGTGCATGAACCAGGATGTGTAATGGACCATAAACAAAACAGTGAAACTGCAGTGAAACTACACATAAAATATTGTCAGAATAAACATACTGAACAAATGGATTTTTTGGGGTACTTTCTTTTAGTAATCTTAGTTTCTTTTTACCCATGGGAGGTATGCAATTTTCAGGTGGAAATGTGATTTTCAAGTTGACATGTCCCTTTAAAATTTAAATTATAGTTTTAATGGTATAGTAATAATACTTAGTATATTCAGCCAATGATCTAAGAGCACTTTACAAAGGTAGGTAATATAGGCCCATTTTACAGGTATGGAAATAGAAGCACAGAGATTAAGTGATTTGCCCAAAGTCTCACAGCAAGTCAGTGGCAGAGTCAGGATTAGAAATCTAGGGTGAAATCCTGGTTTCATTGAAGTCAATGGGGCCAAGATTTCACCAGTAGTCTCTTGACTTCCTGTCCCCTGCTTTAACCACTGGACTCACTGCTGGAATCGAGTGATTTTGAATTAGCTAGCTGGGACTAGTCACAATGTGTGGCTTTTGCTCATTATTTTTTCAGTACAGATTTTTCAAAAGGAGCCTCAGGTTCAAAACCTGCAGTGGTCTCCTCAGGACACAATGAGCCTCTGACACACTTCTAATTACGAGCTGTCTGTGAACTTGCCAGTGTGTTGTCATGGCTGCTTGGCCCAAAAGCATCTCTGTGAGCTCATTCGTGAGCTCTTGTAAATAACAGGGAGAGTCTCCAAAGCATTATGAAAACAATTCTGTGTTTCTATTCAAAAATTGCTCTGTGTCTGTCCAAGGCAAATGAGATTGGCTGGATTGGCCTTTTTAGCCATACGGCCCTTTTGGAGAAGTCCGTCCTCTAAGATGTCAGTCAGTCATTTTGAGGCTGTTAGCAAATTTATTGAAAGAAGATTTACAAGTCAGTTAATCTGTGGTCTACACTCAGCCCTACCCTTGTGGGTGTGTGGGGGTGTGTGGGGAGGTGTGGGTGTGTGTGTGGGGGGTGTGTGTGTGTGTGTGGGGGGATTTTGATGTTGGCGGTGTGCAGATCAGCCATTGCAAGGCCTCCAAATGGCCATGTAAACTGCCTCCATACTGGGCCATCCACCCTGAAAGGGTCAGGATTGCTGTGTAAGGGAGATAAGGAGAAGCTTCTATTGTGATAACTGGGCCTACAAATTTACCTTGTGAGCTCTCCTGTTGAAGGGAAAGAAAGAAAGAAAAAAGAAAATTCATTCATATGCAATAATAACAAATGATGATGGGGAAAGGGAGATAAAAAGACTGAATTAGTCTGAACCAAAAGGTCTCCTGATATAGCTCAAGGACTGTGTTAAGGTCATGCCTGGTAAACAAGAAAATGTGGATCCAGAAATCAATTAACCAAAATCGATGTGTCCGATATTAGGCCTAAATGGTGGACAAAATAATGGGGAGATGGGCTATTCCAGCCATCACACCCCTTGTGGGTCCTTGAAGAAAGAGGCTTTGGGAGGAAAATACAGAAGAACAGACAGGGGCTACTGGAGCGAGCTTCACCATAATAGCTGCCATCTCCACTGTCTCCTGGGACTCCAGACCTCCTTCGTTCTAATCCTCAGAGATATCCAGACTGGCCAGAGAGAGGGACCCTGATAACATCGCCATCTCTTCCAGTTCCAGCTGAATCCCAAACACTGCCTGGGATGAAACAGGATTGGATTATAACAACAACAGCAACAATGACAGCTTGAGCCCATCTAAACTAACTTCTTCTCTTTGGCCCCAAGGTTGCAGTTATTTCCATTTCAGATACCATCTAAGAGAATGTCCGACCAGGGGGGTGGGCGTTTCTTTTGAAACCTCTCTCCAACGGAAAAGGGAATGGGGATGTTGTTACGATGAACGTCTTATTTCATACTTTACATTTCAAACCCTTTACCTCTTTTTTCCTTTCTTTTCTTTGTCTTTAACAAAAGGTTAAAAGGATTTTTAATGGTGTGTTTGCCATAGTACCAAGCAAGCTGAGGTCTCTGTATACCAAACCCAGATCTTGTTTAACACCGTTTAATGTTGGACAGTGACTGTATTAACACCTTTGGCCCATATATTCCATCTAAATCAATACACTTCTTCTGATTTACCGGAGGGTGCTGTGGGGTTCTTCAGGGACATTGGGAGGTTGTGCAACTTCCTCAAAATAGCCCTTTGCAAATCTTGGTCCTGTCTCCCTGTAGCTATCCACATAAAGCAAAATCTCATGTAGGCTTTCTTTTCCTTGGGAGTTCCTGTCAGCTTTTACAGCTGTATCACTCATCCGTTTGTCAGTCTCTCTTTTCTCCTCCCGTCACTACCTCAGCCCATCCTATGCTATCTTTTGATCACCCATTATTGAAATGGATGACTAAGGTTACCAAAGCGTCACATCCTCCAGGATTCAGCGAATTGGTAACAATTACTCAAACTTGTCCCCAGTCAAAAACCCCATCAGAATTTTGTTATTTAATCCTCCCTTGAGATAAGAATTCCCTCAATATTCACTCCAGATCCCCTGTAACTGAGCCTTTCTAGTTGAGATGCTGTTTATCCTTCCAAAATGTGTCAACTTCCTACTGGCACTGCATTGAATCTGAATGGCTAGGTGGTGCTGTGGGTTAATCTACTTCTGGAGGTCTGTGTTCAGCTATAATAAAGATCAAAAATGAAATGACTTGGGTGGCATCCTCTAGGAACTAGTCTGATATCTGTCCATTTTTTGTAACACCATTCAATTTGGTTAGGAAAGGTCCAGGACTAGAATAGTAAGGGGCACTGCAGGTCAGGAGTGAGAGGCAATGGCAGAGCTGAGGGGGTGGGGGAGAGGATTAGCAGGAGGACCTGCAAGTCCTGAATGGCAGAGCTGTGTGAGGACTCCAGAACTGGAATAGCATGGATGCTGCAGGGGAGAATTGAGGGACATTGGCAGAGCTGTGTAAGGAAAAAAATCACACAGCAACACCTCTGCTCTCTCTAGCTGGTTCTAGTCAATGGTACCAGTCCTGCCTTTTCATGAGAATTAAATAGTTCACCACCATATTCAGACAGGTGAGAGAAAAAATCTGCTATCCAGAGGGATAAAAGTGAATGCTTTGTGTATATAAAGAACTGCATGTGCATGATGAATAATACACACTGAGAGCTGGAGAGGGGAAAGCTTAAGAAATGAAACAGTTCCCTTCTTGTTTTACTTTGCAGGTTGCTAAGAATGAAGAGCTGAGCATAGAGCTGCTAAACCTGGTCAACACCAGGAGCTCCCTTCCTCAGTCATGGAGTAACAACTCCCCGTCCCAAGCGCTGGCCAATGAAACCTCGGCCGAGCTGGAAAGGATGCGGGCTGTGGTCCACCGCCTCTCTGCCCGGAAAGTGAAGGTATGGACTTGTCTGGCCTCCTAGGTAGTCTGATCTCCTTGCTTCCGCCAAGAAACCAGAATCTGACCACTGCCCTGTTCTGTTTTTTTTTTTTTTTTAAATCAGCCAGAAGATATAGTTGCCTCTGAACACGAACGTCAAAAACTGGAGAGACATGTGAGTGTGGAACACTGCATGTGTATCTGAGCTGTGTACTTGTGATTATTTATTGTGTGGGGTTCATCCTCCCTGCCCACCCTTCCCCCATGCAAAACATCTGTCAGACTGAATTTGGAGAATTGCCTACACCTAGTTTCTTGAGAGCTGTGTAGTTACCAAATAGCATGTACTCTCTCTTCAGGTTGTTTGTTAGAAAACTGGATCTGCATTGTTTTATACAGTAACTTCTGCAAGGAGAGGCTGCGACTGGAGGAGCTGGGAGCTTCCCCCAGCCATTTTCATTGGGCAGATATAGACAAGAGTTTTAAAGGAAGTAGGTCTGTGTTACCTGCTAAGTGCATGTTCACCATAATCTCACAGAAGGGTTGGCTCAGTGGTAGCACCTCTGCACTGCTGTGCAGGAGACTCCATCCCATTCTCTTGCCCCCAGAGCTGGGAGAGCTGCACAATCAATCCACATGGTATCCCGCTGGGGGGAAAAGAGCACAGAAATCACTGAAGTCAAGCGAGCTGTGCCTGCTTACGCCAGCAATGTATTCTGCTGATGTCTCAAATTGCTCAACAGTGAATCTTTGACTAGTTAAGGGAGTATTAGCCTTCCATCCTTGGCTGAATGGATGGTGTGAAAATGAGGGATCTTGAGAGCTCTGCTAGGGACACAGATGACCCCCTGGAGGAGGTGGTGATAAAGCAACCCCAGAATGATGGGCTGGAGTAGCCTCTTGCCTCAGTTGCATCATCATTTGTGTGATATTGACTAGTGCTTCAGTACCCACCATTCAATTTCTCATGGTAAACTGACCCTCCTATCCACATCTCATCTGAGTCCACTCTTAGTGTGATGATACCTATGCAGCCAGGATAGATTTAACACAACCTTCCTATTGTATTAGCTGTATTGTAGTGTATTAGCTGCTCCCTATCAGGGGCGGCTCTAGGCACCAGCAAAGCAAGCACCTGCTTGGGGTAGCCCATTTGCAGGGGCGGCAGGATCCAGCATGGGAGCTGAGAACCAACAGGGGGCCCTGGGAGCTGTAGTTCCTTGGTTAGCTCCCTGCCTATAGAGCCAGCCCTGGAGCAGGGAAAGAACTACATTTCCCAGCATTCCCTTGGCCACTACCAACAGGAAAGAGGGGGAGGGAGTGAGGTAGCTGAGACCTCATGCTGCAGCCTGCTGTGAATGGAGAGCTGCGCTGTGAGTAGGGATACCATATTTTAACATTCAAAAAATAGGACACTCCACAGGGAGGGAGGGTAGCCCCACCCTGCCACCATCCACTCCCTCCGACTGCCCCCCACAGAAACCCCAACCCATCCAACCCGCCCTGCTCCCTGTCCCCTGATCACCCCTGCCCCTAACGGCCCCCCAGGACCCAACCCCCTATCTAAGCACCACTGCTCCTTGTCCCCTGATTGCCCCCTCCCGGGACCCCACCCCCTATCTAAGCCTCCCTTCTCCTTGTCCCCAACTGCCCCCTCCTGAGACGCCTCCCAACTTCTGCCCTAGGACCCCAACCCCTACCAGTCCCCTGACAAACCCCTGGGACTCCCATGCCTAGCCAACCACTGCCTGTCCCCTGACTGCCCCCCCAACCCCTGACCCATCTAACCCCCCCTTCTCCCTGCCCCTGCCTGCCCGACTGCCCCCCCGAACCTCTGCCCCATCCAACCCCCCAGCCCCCTTACCGTGCCACTCAGACCAGCGAGTCTGGCTCCGTGCAGTGCCAGACACACTGCTGCATACATGCTGCCGTGCTCCCCCGCGGAGCCACAGGCCCCCCCCCCCCCCCCC